TAAATTAACATATTTAAACCCCCCCCCCCCCCCCCCCGACTTTGGTTCCAAAACAAACTTTATGCATGACTGCATGTGACCCAAAATACAGGTATCACGTTAGATTCTAGTCCTGCTGGTATCATCCGTTTGCAACAGAGTGTTTCTCATCCAAAACTTTAAGGTCCTGTGCACTTAACAGCACATACTCTGCTGACTTTTTCCTCCCACAATGATTCAACTTGACAGGTCTTTTCTGCTGGGGCATGAACTGTCTGGCTATACTTAATTTTTCCATATTCTTTCTTGCATCAGAATAGTGTCAGGATAGACATCTCTGTACAGAGATGGTGTCACAGAAGTTTAAAGACAGTACTGTCTGAATTTGATTGTATTTCTTCTGAATTTGGTAGCAGAACTCTCATAATTTTAGTTTGGATAAATGTAGCCCTAAGTTGGAGTTGTTGAAGTAGTAGTTTTTTTAATGTTCTTTAGCTATGAAGTAGAAGAGGTGACTATAAATCTTTTTTTGATAGTTTTGTAGAATTGTTGGTTTGGATATAGCACCCAATGCACAGGACAGGGCCTGAGATCCTGCACTGTGTCAGCAGAAGCAAGCTTTGGAAGACCTATGAAAAGAGTGTGCTGCAAAAGCAGAATCATGCTTTCTGCTAGGTTTAAAAGCAAAACAAACCACAAAAAAACCCCCAAATTTGAACTGCTAACACAGTGAAACTCAACTAGTTTTTATTCTATTAACTTTTTATTTTTAATAACAGATGTGCTTAAATTTTATTTGCTTTTAAAGAGAAAATGTCTTTAAATCTAAATTGAAAGTAAATGTAAATGGAGTGATTGTGGCAGTATGTGCTGCGGCTAGTCTGGGGCAATGCATATACAACTTGGCCAGCTAGTGGCTACCCCTTACAGAACTGAAAAACTGTAACTGCCAGCTTTCAGTGGAGGCATGCATCTCACTCCTTCCTTTATCCAGCTGCCAGTTTTTCACAAAGTGTGTAGGAACTTCATAGCTTTGTGGCTGCTTCTGCTCTGTGAAGGGGTGTTAAAACTGATCAACAGATTTAAATGTTTGGGGAGAAGAGAAATTAGAGAAATTCAATGTCTCTGCCCCTTTCTGTAATAAGCTTTGTTTCCTTAGGAAAATGTCCTCATTTCAGGTTTGTTTTTTGCATTGCAAATTTGGAGCTTTGCTCCAAGAGGTCCTTATTGCATTCGCAGTGTGGTGTGTTGAGCCTTAGGGAGTTTATCTTCAGCCTAGCATCCTGAGGGATCACAAGGAATGGGAGCAGTAACATTTTTCTTAACTGGGAGTTGCACAGGGAGTGGCATAGGGCCAATGGAACCGAAAGACCTACTTTGGTAATGTACTCCAGAACGACCACCTTTACAAGCCCACCCATTCCTCTTGCACACTCTGAAGGAAGTAAGATCAACCAGTCAAGTTAGTCATACTTAATGTAGGGAGTCACTGAATAAATGTGGAAATGAAGGAGCTCTAGTGTTAATGATGTTCATGGTTTAAGAAATGGTAGAGGAGAAAAAGAGGCATCACAGGTGTTTAGTAAGGTTTCATATGCTTCATTGCATGGAAGGTCAAACAATAATACAGGACAAAAGGAATACTTTTCTGTAGCTCAGAAGAGGTATGCTTCTATATCTGTCAAATAGTGCAAATAACCACCCTTTCAATTTTTCCTCCTGAGAGCAAATGTAAAGTGGAAAAGGCACTATTGTCAGCTTATGTGGAAAATGAAGGACCATTTGTCCTATTAAGTAGGTTTACAAAAGATGTGAATGGGATCTTCTTGTGCTGGAAAGAAAGCCCAGCTGTGTCCAAATTGGAACTTGCTGAGATCCATTTTAAAAAGCAGTGTCTTTTACTTGGCAATGACATTGGATCGGGTAGTGCAAAGAACAAATGCATATTGGTTAAGCCTAAGCATGAATAAAAATATCAAAGCAACTTTCAAAACTATATTAATGTTACAGGATTGTAAACCACTGAAAATCCTTTCTAAGGAAGCTGTAGTGCACATGTTCCTTTACATTGGTACAACAGCTTCCTGTAAAGCTACTACGGTTTTTATTTAAAAAAATACACTTAGTCATCAACACTTCTAACATGTAGATAAAGGTCATTGATCTAAAATGAGATTTGTAGTTCTTCAAACTGAAGATAGAGACATTGAATTATTAGCGTGGTTTTACAGCTTCTTACCAAAATGTAGGGTCGCTTCTATCTGCATGCATTACTGTTCTAGGTGCTCTCTTCATGCAGTCAGGCACCTACTTGGTAAATTTTCTAAAATGTGGAACCAGCATCTGACAGAAGAGCTGTAGCATGTCGAGTAATTCATCCATCTTTAGGTTAAATATTCCTCTTCTAAGTACAGGTGATATAATATGAATAGTGTGAATGTTGCCAAAATACTTTCCTACATGCAAAAGGATCAAATTTGTTCATTTCAGTCAAAATGAATAATCATGTTTGTTCTTACACTAATACATTTTATTGCCGTTTTAAATACAGACCTTTTTATGCACCATTTGTTGGTGTCTTAACACCCTATACCTGGACACTATATTTTTTTCTATTGTTTCCTTTCTAATATTTCAGAACTGTAATAAGAGAGAGCGTGCCTGATTCAGGAATTTAAAATGTTTTTTCTTTCCCTTTTCATTCAGATCTGGAGCAAGCACCTACACTCTTGGCTTTGCCTCAGGATAAACTGTGCCTATGCTGACATTAATAGAAAGTGACGTGGAGGCAGTAAACTTGCAGTTCAACAGAATTGACAAATCAATTAGATCTGCTTGTTTGTAATTTTACTAGTCTTTTCTGAAATACTAACAGGTTCTTCAAATGTAAGCAAATTTTATTTCAGGAAGCAAACTTCTGATGTTTTTCTTGTGAAAAAGATGACAAGAGTTTGGTCTATAAAGTTTTCTGAAGTGCTGATGTTGAGTGCCTAATTGCTAGGAAGGATTCCTGTCTGTAGGCAGTGTGATGTTTCATGAAAAGAAAATTGATGCTTTTGATTTTTTTATTATTTTAGTGCTAACTTTTTCTTATTCTTGAAGAGACCCTGGTAACTCTTTGAAGTTAGTCATTTAGAGCTTCTCTTGGAGGGGATTATTTTTAAGAAACTCTTTTCTGTGTAAAATGCTACTGACCTTAAACATACCAATACTTATCTCTTACAATGCTAAAAGAAAGCTCCGTCACCATTACTAGAAACTGCCTAGATTGGCTTATAGTTGAAAGAACAAAACACGAAAGTTTTACTTTAATCTGTAGTATTACTAAATATTTAGCAGATGTGCCTTTTGGGTAGCAGGGAAGGACTGCCTGACCTACTTTCATTTTAATCACTGAAGGGTTATTTCATGATTAATTTCTGGTGTGAAAGCTGATCTTCTGACTGTGGGTTGTCTTCTTTCTTTTTTCTTGGAAGGATATTGGTGAGAGGAAAGCAGAAAAATCAATATAAAGGATTTTGTCTCCTCCTTTCAGGTCTTTTTAGCTCTATCTTGAGGTATTGGGATGTTACTGCATTTATGGACTGCTGTGGCAGTAAGTAGCAAGCTCATTCACATGACAGCTGGTCAATTTTCCTTTGCAGCGCATCCCATTAGCCCCTCTAATTTTTTCCAGAGTGTCTTTTCGTGAGAAGCTGACTTTCTTCCAAGGAAATAACTGCAATTCTGTTTTACAGTTGTAGGAATCTGCCTGTACCAATTAATACATTCATATTTTTCCTATTTACTTTTTTCTCATCTCTTCTTTTTGTTTATTGTAGGGTATTTCTCTCACTGTGAAACAGTTGCTGTATAGCATGTTCTCTGGCTTTTCTTGAAGTTTGCCACCACATATGTGAATCAATTCATAGGCAGTGTGTCCCAGTGGCTGCTTTTTCCCCTCTTGCATTTTTTCAAGTTTCATCTTTGATTGCCAGTAGAGGTTTTGTGGCACAGATAGGACTTGTGGATGCTAACAAGTAACATTACCCTTGGCTGTCTGCTGGTTGGTTTTCATTCGATAGACTTGCAAGTCATCTGTTGAATGCATGTGTGAAAACTATTGCTGTTGGTATGGGCATGGTGAATTTTTAGTGTGTGTTCAAAAAAGCCATTCACTTCAGAGTGTGGAAGAGGAGACCGCCAACAAAATTGGGTAATTGAGGAGTGGGGAGAGTGGAGGCAGTTGACACTGATGTTAAGCACAGCTTTTGGCTTTGAAAACAGTGATGAGTTGTGCTGTAGCATCTGAAATGGACTGTTGCTAGATCTTCTTCTTCCCCTATTTCTGTCTCCAGTGGCAGTTGTCTTAATTCCTGCAAGAACCGTGGTCAGACAGGTAACAATCCAGCATTTTCTTCTAGAGGAAACACCTGCTACAGGACAGTTTGGACACTTGCAGCTTTTCTCAAGAGCATGGAATGTATGAAGGCAAACGATAGTTGTGATGAAGAATGTTCCACACTGTCCACCGTGTTTGACTCTCCTCAAATTTCCTCCTAAATTCCTTGGCCTGTATAGCATAGATAATTTTTACAAGGCGGCCATAAATTCCATGCATTCGGGTCATCTTGTTTATACAACCTGTTCATAAAATTTGTTCATGAAAACTGTGGGAAGATTTAATAACTAAATAGGTGGCCATTCCTTTGTAGAGCTGTAGTTTCAAAAGTAGATTTCATAGTTTCAGGACTTTACTGGTGTAATTTTGATCCCCTACATAAACTTAGAAAATGTCCAAGCTCTTAAAACCCCGTAAGATTTGGGTAGCAGTGGGAGGAAGGCTTACCTTGGGCTGGCTGCAGTGGTTCCTGTTCCAGCTGCTGCTGTACCATTTGCTTGTTTCCTGCCACTGCAGTAAGGTTGGCTCAGCTGTTTGTGCAGCATTTGCTGAGACCCTGCGAATGTGTTTATTTAAAAACAGATACTTTAAATAACCAAACATTGATGTCCTCCCAGTTTGTAAACTGGAGCCCTCTGTTTTGGTACTAGCTCTGCAGTGTGAAATCAATGTAACGTCACCCTCAGAAAATACGCTTTATTTCAGTTGTACCTTCCTAGCAAAGTCTTACTGTTTTGGATAAAACCCTTTCCTGGAAGGGGGAAGTGGAAATTGGTTGGTATTCCTCACACCAGGTTGGTAAGAGGAAAGTGAAGAAGCTTTGTTTTGTCCTGAAATCAAAAGCTGAAGTCTGGAAATTATGAATTGCTTTCCCCTTAAAGATGGCAAAAATCTTACTGTGTGGAGGGGCTTGAACTCTGTTTACATTGCTGGTTGAGACTTCCAGACAGGCAGTTTGTGTTCAGTGTGTGTAGCCACCCCCCAGCGCTGTCTGCAAACAGCACCATGGCAAAAGAGTTGTTGCTTTGTCTGTCAACATTTCTTGCCCTGTTCCTCCTTCTGCACTCTGGAGCAGTTACCAGAAATTCTTGGGTGCTTGTGGTCTGAATATTTCTTCACAGTAAGCAAATATGCTGGTATCGATCAGGAAAGCAGTTAAAGATTAAAAGTGTTCACGTTGCTGAAAATTGAACACAAACTTTTTTATTGCATGTGGGAGCAAAAAAGGGAATTCTATATTCTTCTGAAACTGTGGTGAAATTTATAGGAGATTGGAATGAGCCAAGAATGGGTAGAGTTTTAAAAATTATAACCTGTAACAAAATGTCAAAGAAATGGATTTTAGTTAAATCTGGGAAAATGCTAAGGCAGGGCATGAAAAAGTGTTCCATCACAGATGGTTGTTTGCCAACTCTGTATAACAGAACTTAGATGTTTACTAAGGGAGGGGCAATAAAAATTGCCTTGATTTGTGGGAAAGGAGGCAAGGTAATTGAGACAAGTGAATTAAGGGGCTTGTGGAGTTGTTTTCCTTACTGGTAGATGAATGCATTATAGATACGTTAAATTTTGTAGCAGGCCGTCTGCAGCACTACTTAAATGATAAGACTGGAGAGTAGCCTTAGAAACCTTTTTAATTTCCTTTTTTACTTCTCTGCTCTTGAAACACTGTTTAGGAAAGAAACTGAGGCAAGAAAGGGTTGTGCAAGGCAACCTGTCTTCTGTAAAAGCTCACATCTGCTAAATCTTACATTGTAAGTGCAAAACTTGCCTTGTGCACACCTTTCAGTCCTCTACTGTCAGCATCTGTCATGTCAAAGGCGTCTGTGAGAGGGAACGAGGCCTTGTGGTGACTGCAGGCGGCTGTGTAGTTCCTCTCTCATCCCTCGGACCCAGCACAGGGACCTCTCTTCAGCGAGTGCCTTGGTGCAGACACCAGTGCCCTAACGTGGCCAGACACGTGAATCTTGCCTGTTGGGTGCCTGTATTAACAAGCCCTGATGAATGGGCTCGTTGAGGACGAGTTGGTTTACATGTTAAATCAGTAACTTTATTTTGTTGAGATTATTTAGATGTGTAAAATGTCTGTGTATGTCTCTTAGGATTGAGGGGGAGGCTTGAAGATTTAGCTGCAGTGGTTCAGAAAGTTTCTGGCAACATCTTAACTCTGGTCTTTCGTTGGAGCTTGTTGCCATGGGAAGTGGTTCAGCAGAAGGGGCTGGATGCGGGATGCCCACAAAGACCCAGGTACTGCTGCCACTGCCCACCTGAATCCTTCCAGCTCCTTCTCACGTGGTCTCACTCAGGTCTCTTCATCAATTTTGTTACTGGTAACTTTCTTCTGCCATCTGTAAAGGCATAAAATAAAACCAGCCTCAAAATTGAAATGCATTAGGTTTTGTGAGCATTTGGTGCTTACCATGTTTCATTATAGTAGACTACTGTGTTTGCTGTATTTTATTCTATTTTTTTGTAATGAAACATACTGCAACTTCCTCTCCCTATGACAAGAAGAGGGAGGGTCAGTAGTTTAAGCAAAAACTCAATGTTTGTTACATGGTTTAGGGAGATCTAGTTAACTACGTTGCTTAGTTTTAAGAGGAGGAAAAGAGATCACTTGATCGGTCAGCAAGACCACATGACAAGCAGCTGAATGTAATTAGGGTGCTTGTGTGGGGCTGTCAGATTTGCATGTCAGTGCAAATTTTAGAGCTATTATTCTGAACTACACTATTTTGCTTATATTTTCTTTCTCTGCTGATACTACCTGTAGGTGAGAAACGGCTCTTTTTGCATGACTATGGTATTCAAGAGATCTGAACTGTGTCAGGAAACTTGTCACTGAAGTACTCTTGGAAAACTACAGATCCTTTTGCAGCTGTTAAGCAGAGGTATGTAAACACTTTCTCTTTTTTATTTATTTTCATAAGATTGATTACATTGTTTTCCTTGAGCTGATAGTATTATGCCAGCTGTTCCTCTGTTAAGAGCTTTGAAACAATGTTGCTGTATTTTTGACAAACTGCCTGAAATATTTTGAGTTCAGCATTGCTGCATCCTCATGTTCTAGGGGGGGAAGTAAACTTAAAACTGGGAAGTATACTGGCTTATGTAAAACATAGGCTTTGGGTTTAAATTGCAAAACTGCAGCTCTTTGGTACGTCTTTGGTCGTTGCTTTTCACAAAGAAATAGGTCAGATTTAAACACAAACCTGGCTAAGTTTATCAACAAGATTAAAATAAATGACTGCAGTGACCAGTGACTGGATTCGGTAACCATAACATGCCCTTTCTGGTCCCAAGTCATCAGCCTACATTTCCTTTTGTGTTAAGTCAAACTCATTCTACAGTTAGGAGGTGGAATTAGACCTTTGATAGTGAAGTGTACTGCGCAAATAACATTTCATAATGCAGAACAAAGTAACTCAGTATTTCTAAATGTTGTACTGCTTGAACTTTTTCCCCCTCTATTTATTCCTGTGTTCTTACTAACATATAAAGATAAATTATACTTAATAAAACAGTCCTTTCGAATGGTGGTTTTTTTAACTGGATTGTGCACCAACGTGTTTGTTCTCAGGTATACGAAATGTATTGATGATAAAAGGAATAAAAATGGTGTCTTGCACAGCCTGTTATTTTTAATTAGCAAAAGAAATTGGACTGCAGGAACCATGAGAGCTCATCTAGTTCACATTCCTCGTTCAATCATATAGTAATGGTTTCAATCCTAAAATTAATTATAGTAAAGGCAATATGGGGGTGGGATGTGTTTTGTACCTCCTCTGGAAGAAACTCAAAATGTATATGCCCATCTGACTAGGTCATTCCTTGCTTCCCCAAGCATGGATTTGTAGTCGGGCATCCTTTCTAGCCCATGTGTTTGCCAGCATTTTTCTAACCATGGACCAAAACTCCAGTTTTTGTAGACTGTAAATAGCCAAGGAGAAGTTGTTCAGAGAACAGAAAACAGTGTTCTCCTCCACTTCTGTGGGAAGGTCACAAATCTTTCCCAGGGTTTTAACTGATGTCTTGCAGCGAGTACCTTAAGATGATTTTTCTAGTCCTGATCATCACCCGTTGACTTGTGTTTATGAGAAAGAAGTGACAAATTCATAAATGTAGTTAAATAAATATGTTTTCTTGCTGTTTCCTTATAGACATCCTCAGTATAGGAAAAAGCTTATAAAAAATAAGTGGGAAGAAGGATTTTTGTAAACATTGATGCTTGACTTAGTGTTTTTTTCTGTGCTGTGCTGGATGGATTTGTTGCTCTAGTTGCCTCATAGTAATTTACTGTTACATAACACTTCTCAATTATTGCATTACATATGCATTTTGAATGCGTGTTACAGAAACAATCTCTAGCACACTTTAGGGTAGTGATTTCTAAGAGCCTAAGTTATTTGAGGATTAAATTTTTATAATGCTGGGATTCTGTTGTATAGAGCAAAACAATATTCTAGCATGTGGTGCTGCCCCCTTTCCCTCACCATACTCCTAGTGGGTTTCAGTATATTTGCTCTTTTTCAGCATGTCTTTCGTTTACAACACTATCTTAAACAAAACACCGCTAGTAATTAAGCCTGGTAAAGCAAACTACAAATCTAATTCAGCTGGAATTCTTTAAACATGCCACTAAGAGTGGCATCAAAGAGAAATTGTTTGGGTTTTTTTTTCCTTCCAAAAAAATACTGAAAAAACGACAACCAACAAGAATTCTGAAACTATACAAGATTTAAAGAATGAACTAAAAAAATCTTAAAAACTGTTAATGGAAAAAGACTTGGAACATTTCCTAGTGGAATGAGGGAAATAAGCTCTAGTTAAACAGAATTAGAAATAACTTTTTTAAGGAGGAGAAGTTAGAGTAACTTTTCTTCATCCTAAAATGTTTGGCTTCATAACTAGGAAATGATATAGCTCCTACTTCTGAATTTTGTTTAAACAGTGTGTCATAGGGATAAAGTTTCTTTACAAAAATTCAGTATTGATGCATTATGGTGCAACTGTTGGAATAAACAGAAGCAGAACAGGCATCTTGGTGAGGTAGGAATTCTCTGGGAGGGGGTGGGTTGGTGTATGTTAGCGTAGCTCCACTATAGGCACTGCAGCTGTACTGATTAGTGCTAACTGAGATTTTCTTTTTTCATATACTGAATTTGTTTTTACTGAAATGTCATTACTGGATTTTTATTTCCTTCTGTGGGAATTCATATGCACTGGTTTAAAATCAAACCAAACACTGCAAGCCAAAGTCAGTATTTTAATAGAAGACGAAACAGCAGTGCGTACTCGAATGAGTCTTTTCAAATAGAAACTCTTGTTGGACAGTACCATTGCATACTACCAGTTTCTTGTGACTTGTGCACAGAAGTGTGTAGCTGAATAGATTATTTCATATCTACTCACCCTTTATATCCCATTTTTCATTTCAGAGGTTTGATGCCTTTCTCACTCATAATGTAGAATGTAAAAAATTGCAAATCATTACATGAAATTAGTTCGTCAGTTTGCGTGACGTTTTCAGAGTCTGCATAAGTACGCAAAGTTTTATACTTGGTGTCAAGTCAAGAACGCAGTCTGAATCCACCGTGGTATGAAAACTACATATGCATTCCTTGACGCAGTTTCCTATGGGGAACTTGCACTGCTTGGATCAATTAGAACAGTCTGACTGGCAATTTATTTTCTTAGCCTATCTTTGTATATTTTTACTGGAACTCGGGTTATAGAGGTGGTTGTTCTAAAAGCTCACTGCTGCTAAGCCATTTCTTAGCTATAGCAGAAACAATCTGAATAATAATTTTAATTAAGACTTCTGGGGGGAGAGGTAGGAAATTGCCTGTTATTGTAGGTCAGTTAAAGCAAAACTTAAGGACACTGTGTGTCTACATGAAATGTTATGAAAGAATTCTGCAGGAAGGCATCTACAACATGAAAAGCTGGCAACAGCTGCCAGGTTTCAGCCAGGGGTGTTACTCTACAGCTATCTTGGGGCCCTCCCTCAATCTGGGAATAGCTAAAATGAATAGTAAGGGCAAACTGTGACATTAGACTTGTGATTCTTTTTGCTTTCCTTGCAGGGCTTACGCATACCTCCATGACAAGAATTAGTGTAAGAAATTCTAGTTTGCTGTGCTCTTTATCTGAGCAGTCTTTGCTGTACATCAAGATTTAACTATAATTCATGCTATAATATGGGATTCTGATCAGAGTAGCAAGATAAATAGTGTTGGTAACTCAGGTTGAAAAACAGCAGGCTTTTTGAATGGAAGCTTTGTGTTGTGCAGTTCAGCCCGCTTAATCGGTGCTTCTTTTGAATTACCCCTTCCCTGAGGCTCTAGAAAACAAGCTGTGCTAGGATACAAATTGAAGCAAACATTTTGCCAAAGCACTGTCTGAATATTTTGGCAGACTGCAGAGCCTCAATAGAAAGCTTGGACAGTGTTAATACATGCTACAGTTCTGGAGCAGTTCAAGTGGAAGATTCAGTGACTTGTTGAAAGTATGGTCTTATTTTTCAATTCTTGCAGGGAAAAAAAACCCCAAACCTGTTGTTTCAGCTTTGCTTTGTTAGAAGAGTTTAAGAACGATACTTCTGAGCCATAAGCGTGCTCCAAAATGACTGTGTCTTGCTGTCACAGATCAAGATTTCTGCTTTGCTGTTGCATGTTAGTAACTTCCTGAAGAGAACAGATTGTGTCCTATTGAATACTGCTGTGCTCTGTTTCAGGCAGAAGTGGTGTTTTATTATGTAATGGACAAGTTAAATTATGCCCAGAGTATTCTCAGCAAGTTATTTCTAACTTTTTCATAGCGTTTATGAAACATGGAAGCATCATATATGATGCTTACTATTTCCAGACGTGTTTACTAAAAAATCCTGCCGAGTACTGGCTGAAAATCTCTCTCTCAGACTGTAGCCATTACAGACTGTGAAATCAAAGGCTCAGTTCCTTTTTGAGACCTCTTAAGAGCAGATTATTCATGACTGACCCATCTCTCAATTTCTTTGAAGTGTCATGCTGCCAGCCTGCAGTGCTCTGACTGTCTCCACATGGCAGTGGTTGCCAGCATGATCTGGAGTAGGCCCAATGAGCTTGGCGCCTGCAAGGATGCTTCTGTCAAGATGTTATGATTTTTAAAAGCTTGGGAGAAGTCAATGCTAGCTGTGAGCCAGTTTTATCAATCTAGATACATCCTTCTGTCTCCATCCATGTGTACCACTTCCCTGCTTAGCATCTCTGACTGTCCCTTGCATTTCAAGTCCAATCACATTGGATTTGAGATTAAGGAGTAGAAAGAATAACCTTTTCTAGTTACTGGACAGGGTTTTTCTCAACTGACAGTTTCCCGTGCTTTCCCACAGATAACTACAAATTTATATTCCCCTTCTTGCTAGATCAATTTAAGAAACCCTTCTGATTAAATATTTCCACAAATAACTTATTATTCTTAATGTCATGCCCAGTATTCATAGATAATAGAGATCTTCCAGCTCATTAGAAATGGGTATTGATTAGTTCTTCAGTCAATAACTTTGATAACCAGTAAGTTTTCTGAGGAACAGGATGTTTTCACTGTGGCTGGAAGTGTGATCTGACACATCAGTCCTGCTCCAAAAGGCCACGATGCCTTGTGGTTAGCTGTTTTCATTTGGCAAGTGTAGACAGACTAACTTCTGATGGACTTAAAAATCTTTGGATACTTCAATGTCATCTAAGTAATGAGAAAACTTTTAACTTCCTGAGGAATAAACAGCCAGAACAAAATGTAGGAAATGCTGTATACTGTGTCCCTCCTGTTATTGTTGAACTAAATCAAGTAACGTGCACCAAAAATAAGGACAGATCGCAATGTTAGAGAAAAGCAATAAAGCTAAAGAATG